CCTTATGCCTACAAGGGGGAGGAGTGGGTTGGCTATGATGACGCCATCAGCTTCAGACACAAGGTGAGGCCTTGGTTCTTTCTTGATCCAGCATATAGTTTCCCTCTGGCGGCCACGAGGCCCTTGTCTGTGCTGTGTGTGTGTGTGTGTGTGTGTGTGTGTGTGCGCGCGCGCGCGCACACGCACGCACTGGTTGGAGGATGAAAATGTGAGGGTAACGATGTTGGGTGAGTTTTAGACATATCTGATCTAAATGGGGTTTCCTAATTCCATCTAACCCAACCCTCTTATTTTGAAGAGAAGAAATCTCATTTTTTCACGATCCCATAGCTAATAAGTGGTAGAGGCTAGGTTCAAATACAGGTTATCCTCTTACCCATCCTGCTGTATTGCCTCCTGGGAGTCCATCTTCTGTTTTTTGCCATTGTGCTCAATCTGGAGGGCGGCCAGTATAGCAGGTTGACTGACTACTCCTTTGCAGGCATCGTTCATAAAGAAAGAGCACTATGGGGGGGCCATGGTATGGACGTTGGACCTGGACGATGTCAGGGGCACTTTCTGTGGCACTGGCCCTTTCCCCCTTGTCTCTGTGTTAAAGAACCTCCTGTTGCAGGCTGGTAAGTAGCTATGACCTGGAAGCTGGGGTCAGAGGTTGTATAAACAGGCACTGGGCGGGCCCCTTCTGTTAGATCTAAAGGCTTTGGTGAGGCAGCAGGACATTGAGAAAAGAGCATGAGCTTTGATTATTCTTGGGCCAATCTGTTTTCTAATCTTGGTTTGGATGTGTGCTCCCCTTGACCACTCTGAGCTTGGTTTCTGTATCTGTAAGATAGGAATCCTCCTCCTGACATTATTATAAGAACCGATGAGATATGGGATGAAATCCATGCTGGCTCATAGTTAGCACTTAGTATATGTTAGTTTATTTCTCTATTTGTTTTTATCTCCTGCTTTCACGGCCAAGGGCCAAAAAGGAAATTAGATTTCTTTGGCTGCCTCTTTGATTGTAGAGCCTTCTCTGACAGTTAGGAGATGGCCTCACATGCTAGAGCTGATGGTTGATAGTCCTCATTTTATGGATAAGGAGCTTAGGGCTCGAAAAGGTACCACAGCTATTCAGGGGTGCAGATGGGACTCCAAACTGATTCTTTATGATATACTGTCCAGAGCAACTTTCTTTCTTTCTTTCTTTTTTTAAATAGTTTTTTTATTGATTTTTTAGAGAAAGAGGAAGGGATAGGGATAGAGAAATGGAAACATCGATGAGAGAAAAACATCATCCATCGGCTGCCTCTCGCACACCCCCTACTGGGGATCGAGCCCACAACCTGGGCATGTGCCCTGACCAGGAATCGAACCAGTGACCTCTTGGTTCATGGGTCAATGTGCAACCACTGAGCAACACCAGCCAGGCTAGAGCAGCTTTCTTGACCACAACGCTGCTCCTGGTGCCTCCTGCATTGGGGGACACAGAAGATTTATCCTTGAGAACTCAACAAGTAAAGAACTAGGCCATGGGGGCAAGGTCTTGCTGAAGGTGGCGCTAGAGAGGTCAGAGTGAGGGCTCAAGGATAGAGAACTGGCAGGCTCCTTCTTGGGGTCATTCACCAGGAACCTAACAATCCCCTGAGTGCCCATGGGCATCTGGGATCATGTTAACATGATGGGGTGGGGGAGCAGGGCTTCCATGTGGTGGGATTTTATCTGTGTCCTCAAGTATGTGCATGGTGGGATCCTCCAATTTTGGATTTGGGGAGTAGCCTTGGAGTGGTGGTAGCCCTGCTAGTAGTTATGGGATGGGAAGGAAGGGGTAGGACTCTCATCTTTTTCTGATGATTTTCTGTAGAGTCCAGTTCAACTCTTTCACCAAAATTTTGGCCCTCATCTGCTATGAATTCTTCAAGCACTGGCCCTGGAGGGCTGACTGTGACCAAGGCACTGCCCACTGTCTCGGGGATTTTGCTCTCAGGAGGAGAGGGTGTGGCCACTGAGACGCAGAGAAAGACTGAAAATATGACCACAATCCCCAGAGGTGGGATTGTGACCCCTACAAGGGGAGCTGCATCCTTTGTAAAGCACACTGTAGTTCTACAAGGGAAGACTGAGACCCCTGGGGAAAAGACCAGGACCCCTGTGACCCCTGAACAGATGACTATGACCTCTGGGCACCTTGAGATTGAGACCTCTGGAGTGAAGAACATGGTCCGTAGAAGGAAGGCTGTAGCACCTGCAAAGATGATTATCCCTTCGGGAAAGATGACAGTCACCCCCGATGGGAAGACTAAGACTCTAAGAGGAGAGCATTTGACATCGGAGGTGGACACAGACCCCTGATAAGTTACTTTGCTCTTTAGATGGAAGCTGCCCTCTGACCTGTCGTCCAGCTCCCAGGACACTCCTTTGGCCTTGGCGACCCCTTTGTTCCCATTGATGGAAACCATTCTGTCAACCGATGACCCTTTCAACCAGTGCTCTCTGTCTAAAGATAAGAAACTGCTGTGGATCAAGGAGCCTCCGCTCTGTTGGTGGCAGACGCTGGGGAAAGCCCTTCTTTTCTTCCAGGTTGCCTGGCAGAAGCCTCCTGTGCCTCACCTTTCATAACCATTCATGGGGCAAAGCAGGTCCCAAAGCCACAGTGAGCCAATCTCTTCTCTGTTGAATAAACTGGAAGCAAAGAATCCATCCGAGTTCTTTGACGTAATTTCTTTCTCTCTTCCTTCCTTCCTTCCTTCCTTCCTTCCTTCCTTCCTTCCTTCCTTCCTTCCTTCCTCCCTCCCTCCCTCCCTCCCTCCCTCCCTCCCTCCCTCCCTTCCTTCCTTCCTTCCTTCCTTCCTTCCTTCCTTCCTTCCTTCCTTCCTTCCTTCTTTCCTTTCTTTTTCTTTCTCTTTCTTTCTTTCTTTCTTTCTTTCTTTCTTTCTTTCTTTCTTTCTTTCTTTCTTTCTTTCTTTCTTTCTTTCTTTTGCCATTTCTTTTGAAAGTGTAATCTCCAAGTCTTAAAATGAGTCTCAAATTAGAATTCCAGTAGTGACTTACCGAACAGGCTAGAGAGGGAAAGGCTAGAATGGCCCCGTGGTGTTGGAATCAGAGGTATCAGTATGAAGTCATGATTCTAAAAGTGGATACAGAGAGGTCAGTAGAAAAATTGATATAGAAATACAGTATGTGTATACGTAATTATATTCCTGGCTTGGACCACTGAGAGGGCCTGGAAGCAATGACATTTCAGAAGCATAAGCCCATCTAATGCTCAGATCTTGACTTCTAAATTTTGCTTCTCAATAAAAGGAACCGGGGATCCTTGAAAAGATAGCTGATTCTTGGGCTGGGCCAGGGGAGGCACAAGAAAAGACTGGAATATCTTACGTTTCCATAAAGTAAGGAAGTACTCGAAAATCAATGAGGCCATGTCAGAGGGACACAAGAGTCACCCTGAAAGAGTTCCAAATGGCCCAAATTGGGACAATTTGCACAACAAAATAATAATAATGGATTTTAACCCATAGAATAAGGTAAATATCATGAGTTCATACGCTATCGATGAATAACTGAATTTAAAAATGGAGAAGAAGGGACAGCTGCTCCTTAAAATAGAATGTCAGTTAATAAACGTTGAAGAAAGAGGCTTGGGTGTGACAAGAGACTGAGGCACAGATGTGGGGTGGGAGTCTTAGGAACCACCGGCAAGGTGACGATTTGGCCGGTTGACATGGGAGAGGGGCAGGGCGCAGGCTCCGAGGGCATGACTAATGAACAGGTGCGGTTGTCTGCACCCAGGAAAGCGAGCTGAGGAGAAAATGTTATGAGCTTTTGTCACTTTCTAATTTGAATTTTCAAAAACCGATTTTTGTAAGTTAGAAATACTGCCAATAGGTGGCAGCAGCATGCAGGGTTACATTTTTTTTACGAGAACCAGAAGAAAACTTGGTCCTTGTGCGCAAATGAATGAAAAAAAAATTTTCCCCATAAAATAAAATATATTTTCCCCCCACAAAATAAAATAACTTTCTACAAAAAAGGGGAAAGCAAGTATACATCTCTTTGTTGTTATTATCATTAAGATTGATAGTTTCATGCACATTGAAGCTATGAGAGCTTATGTACGCCAGGTTCAGAGAAGGAGGCTGTGGTTAGGTAGAGGTTGAGTTCAGACACACCAGAGACTTAATCCCACCTCTACCATTTATTGACTATATGATCATGGCGGGGGGTGGGGTGGGGGGAGGTAGTTTGATTCTGTGCCAGTCATTTCAGCAGGAATGCAGACATTTGCATACCAGGGCCATTTCTTAATGGTCTTTGCACTTCCAGAGCTCACTACGGAAGTGAGCATAGCGTGGGCAATTCACTACATGTTGGCTAATTTGTGAACTGAGACGCTGAAAATGAGGAGCAGAGTGTCGTGGACACTGAGAATCACCTATGGAAAGCCATAGACGGGACTGATCAGAGGAAGAGGGAGGAGAAAGAGAAGTAGAGAGTAGACTGTAAATTTCAAAGCAGCACATGCCCTTTGAAGCTAAAGAGCAAACTGTTCCGTTGTTCTGGCAGAAGTTGCCAGCACCCACTTCCCAGTAGGCACGGACACCAGGATCTTTTGTCTCCAGTAAACTTTACATTTGTTATCACAGCCTAATCTTTAGATTCCATCAGCAAAGCCACTAATTGCTTTTTAAATAGACCACAGAGTAGACAAAGTCCTTCATGCTTGCCAAAGGGAAAAACAAACAGAATCCATGGGAGTGTAGGGGAACGGGCTGTTACACAGGCAGAAAAGTCTAGGTGCCTAGAGATGAAAAGAACAGGGAGATCAGGGTATAAGAGAGGGACCCGACCTCCCTCCGTGCGTCCCAACACTTGGGTCTGTCACTGTGTCCTGTGTGTTGGTGAAAATCGGCGCCATGAAGATCCTGGTCTTGGTCTTGGTTTGCCTACACCTCTCAGAGGGTGTGGAAAGGTGTGTATTGGGATGCAGCCTCACTGAATTCCAGCTTCAAGGGAGCGTGACAAGCTAGAGAAGAGCGAAGGGTTGCAGGTCTCTTGGAGAGGCAGTCAGATTGTACCACGAACTGAACACCCACTGGGAGCCAAGACTTGAAATGGATGGATGGATGGATGGATGGAGTGTGTGTGTGTGTGTGTGTGTGTGCACATAAGGGTGGGTTGACTGTTTTGTTGGTTTAGAAGAATGGACAATCCCTGTCCCAAGCTTATAGCAGGCGCTGGGAAGAAACAGACAGTTATTCTCTGGAAACAAGATATAAGCACAACCTCCCCTCCCAAATATTATGTAGTGTGTTTCTGTGTTGGGAATCCAGGAATGACTGTAGTGGTCAGAACTTGCTAAAATCCAGGAGGACTTCCTGGACCTCGCTCTTCCTGAGCAGAAAGTACTGAAGAGATTTGAAAACTCCAGGTCAGATCATTGAAGAGGTTGCTTTAGTGGGGCAAGGTGAAGCTCATTCATTTTTTAACCCTATTCTCTGCAGAATCATTCTTAAAAAAGGCAAGTCTATCCGCCAGACAATGGAGGAGAAGGGCGTCCTGGAGAAGTTCCTAAAGAACCACCGAAAGGAGGACCCAGCTGCCAAGTATCATTTCAACAACGATGCTGTTGCTTACGAGCCCATCACTAACTACTTGGATGTGAGTGAAGGTGGAGGGGTGTCCATCTCTTGGCTGATAACCATGTAAAAGTACTCATTTATGCCCCTCATTTGCTCTGATTTGGACTAATTACTAAACCCAAGTCTCACTTTCCTATGGAAAGTATCTACATAAATTATGGGTTGGTAGTATCTAATAGGGTAGTAGCTCCCTTTCCTTTCCCCTTTCTCTCATTACTGGCCCATCTCTCCAAAGCCCCATTTATACAGTTAAGAGACTTACAGGGGGTAATGTTCAACTCAATGGAGAGATCGCAGGGAAGTCCTAGCAATGAGCTGCAGGAGAAAGAAGGAAAACATGTGCCTAGCTGGTTTGGCTCAGTGGATAGAGCATCAGCCTACTGACTGACGGGTTCCAGGTTCAATTCCAGTCAAAGGCACATGCCCAGGTTGCGGGCTTGATCCCTAGTAGGGGGCGTGCAGGAGACAGCCGATCAATGATTCTCTCTCATCATTGATGTTTCCATCTCTCTCTCCCTCCCCCTTCCTCTCTGAAGTCAATAAAAAACACATTTTTTTAAAAAAAGAAGGAAAGCATTGCAAGGCCACTAGGGAAAATCTCCCCCTTTGGAAAGATACACTGGTGTCCAGAGAAAGTATTAGAATGTTCTCGAGGCTATGATGTCTGCTCAGGGCATCTGGACTTACTGGTGTCCCGTGGACTGTTCTTAGGAAGATGTTACACAGAGCATCAGAGCTGGAAGCCACTTTAGGGAATCACACAAGGGGTGGGAAAATTGCGGGAGAAGCCTCTTACTCCCCTAAGGAGTGATTTGGGCAAAATGTGACTCCCAGTGGGTCAGCTTCTTCCCCACCCTCAGGACAAGGCTAACCTGCGTAATGAGGGTGACGAACCTTTCTTTGCAGGCTTTCTATTTTGGGGAGATAAGCATTGGGACACCACCCCAAAATTTCCTGGTCCTCTTCGACACGGGCTCTTCCAATCTGTGGGTGCCCTCCACCTATTGCCAGAGCCAGGCCTGCTGTGAGTATACCGCCATGCCACCCCTGCCATGGATGAGAGCAGAGTAAGGGGCAGAGTCAGGATTGGCCCAGGTTATAATTTCAAGTACAGAGTTCTTGGTGCATATCCACGATCTCTTCCTTCCTAAGTTAGGAACCTCTAGAAATCTTGCCCTCAGTCTCGCCAACAGTTTTGGAGAGAGGCAGCAGACATAGACTGTAACTTCCACTTCTTTCTACATTGTCCCTTTCCCTCCTCTCTCTCCAGTGGCCAGAATCCCTGACATTTTTGAGGGGATCTATCCCTCAGGGAATGATGGATTGAAAGGAATTCGGGCAATGTTTGCTGCCTAAGGGGACAGGCTTTTCTGGGGCTAACACGGTTTGTCTATATTGTGACGGATCTGAGGCTGAGCCCCATCCCCGACTTGGTCTGATGATCCTGGGCCATTGAGGATGTGTTTCCTCCAAGCATCCTGAAAGCAGTGAATGATGCTAATATTTCATTCTGTCTTTCTACAGCCAATCACAACAGGTTCAACCCCAGCCTGTCCTCCACCTTCAGAAACAATGGGCAAACCTACACACTGTCCTACGGGAGTGGCAGCCTGAGTGTGGTCCTGGGATATGACACTGTGACTGTGAGTGATGCTCTCATAGCCTCTGAGGTTCTGTGCTCTGGCTCCCATTTCTAAAGCCTTAAGCTCTCATGCAAATCCACGATTACTAGTCAGGTCAAATCTTCCCAGGAGCTGAGAGTTGGAAAAGGCATCAAAGGCCGTCTCATTCAACCTTCCCCCCAAGACAGGAGTTGCCTCCACAGCAGCCCTGGCTGCAGAAAGCCCGTTATGCTGTGTTGAAACTGTGTGTCGTCTTATGACTGTTCCCTGCTCTCCACTCTACCCTCTGCAACCACACAGAACCTCTGCTTCCTCCTCCACACAACTTCACCTTGGTTACTTAGAGATCTGCCCTTTCACCGTTTTCTTATGTTTTTATGTCTGACACCCATAGCTTCTCTACAGATTTTGCACGTGGACTGCTCAATAGAAAACCAGTCGCTGTCCATGGAAATGGAAACTAGAACTCCAGGAAACAACCACCTTTGCTTCCCCAGCACCCACACGCTTTTTCCTAAAACATACGTGGTTGGGTGACGCTGTTGCCCTTTCACCTCCCACACCCACACCCAGGAGCGAGCTCAGCATGAAAGAAGCCAGCTTCTCCCCCCAGATCAGGGTCTAGATTCCAGACCCTGGGCACCTACATCCGAGAAGGATTTGTCCACGTTGAGTTGTTCAGCTGCTCTGTCTGCTTGGCCCAGGTTCAGAACATCGTCGTCAATAACCAGGAGTTCGGCCTGAGCGAGAATGAGCCCAACGACCCCTTCTACTACTCAGACTTCGATGGGATCCTAGGGATGGCCTACCCCAACATGGCGGTGGGCAGTGCCCCCACAGTCATGCAGGGGATGCTGCAGCAGGGCCAGCTCACCCTGCCCATCTTCAGCTTCTACTTCTCTCGGTAAGAGGCCTTCTCCTGGGAAGAGGTCAGCAAATGAGGCTCTGTGGGGGCTTTGGACAACTCAACACCAGTCAGAGCTCAGGCTGTAGCGTTTTCTGACTCAGTGACTATAATCTGCTATGCACTTCTGAGGATTTATAAACACATTTCTGGGGGAGTTTTATTTTAAACGCACTGGAAGGATTTTTAATTGTGGCCATAAACCATCCGATGACTCCTTTCTTAAAAAATAAGCAGTAGTCCCTCAATATTTGTCCAGTAAACCTGGAGATTGCTGTGAGCGATCCGCATAACTGTGCAGCTATAGAACAAGCGCCATGAACATTGACCAGTGAAGAGAACAATAATGAGATGCTAATTATAACGGCATCTCTGGTTTTATGAAGGGTTCTTGTAGCAATGACTTCAAATGACATCTTACAAATCCTGTTGCTGCCCTCATTTTTCCAGTGAGGAAATGGAAGCTCAAACAAGCTGTGAATGTTAAGCAAGCTCCCCCCCCATGTGGGTGTAAAGCTGAGACTCAAACACAAACATTTTGATTTGAAAGCTTTTCCTTCTCCCTCTGGCCTTGAACTTTTGTGACACGCGTCACTCCCTGCTTTTCTTTTCTACACACACGATCCTCAGGGAACCTGAAGTCCAAATGCCTTTCGTCTATGACTGGCAGGTGCAGGGTAGCGAGCACAACAGACCCCAATCCTCTCAGCATTCCCTGGTGACCCACCGGGCACGACAGAAACACCCTCCCCCCAGCAGCCTCGGCATCTCTGTCAGGCCATGCGGGTGCTCTCAGAGGGGTTTCTTACTTTGCCCCAGGCAGGGTGTCTGGGATACTTTTATAGCTTTTTTCCAGGTGCCTGATTTCCAAGTCCATCTTCTTTATGGACATAGTCTGTGTTTCCAATTCTCTGAAAATTATTTCCGAGAATGATTGGGTGTCTGAGAATTCCCCTTTCCCTTGTACCTTGAGCCGGGTGATATCTGAAGAGCACCCCTTCGTTCTGCCGTACCCCAGTGTGGGAGGGAGAGAGGGGAGGGTAGTGGAGAGGAGAGGAGAGGAGGGAGAGCAACGCCTGACCCATCTGTATTATGGAAACTCATTCACGTTACATTCCTTCTCAGCCAACCAACCCATCAGTACGGTGGAGAGCTCATCCTGGGCGGCGTGGACCAGCGGCTTTATTCCGGCCAGATCGTCTGGGCCCCTGTCACCCAGGAACTGTACTGGCAGATTGCCATTCAGGAGTGAGTAGAGAAGCGGAGAGTTCCTGTGGGTGAGGGTCACGTGTAGGTGTTTCTCTAGCATGACAGCATTCCCTGTTGCTGGCATGGCACGGCTTTCTCGAGGAATCACCAAACCCTCAGGCTGAGATAGACTCTGGCATCCAGGTCCTGCCTTCCAAGAGCTTTCAGCCAGAGCTGGAGGGGTTGCCAGACCAAGCCTGAGGGCAACACTCCGTGACCAGGAAGGCACAGAAGCACGCCTGGCAGAGGTGTTAGTGGGTGGCCTGCTTCCTGGAAGAGCCAGAATGCCGCAGCTGGGCGGCTGGTGGGTGAGGGCTGATCATGTTGGTAGCAGACGCTCCTGACTCTCTGTACTGGTGTCCCCCTCAGGTTTGCCATCGGTGACCAGGCCACTGGCTGGTGCTCCCAGGGCTGCCAGGCCATCGTAGATACCGGCACTTTCCTGCTGGCGGTTCCCCAGCAGTACATGGGCTCCTTCCTGCAAGCGACAGGAGCCCAGCAGGCTCAGAACGGTGATGTGAGTAACCAGAAGCCACGGGAGTGTCTGTACAGCGAGGCAGGCTCAACACAGGAGCCCGAGCTCAGGAAATGAGGTCATCAGAGGGAGGAGGAAGGGCTGGGTGGGCCCCTGAGCCCCTGGCAGGACAGATCAGGTGGGAACACAGCATGAACTCTCAGCGCAAGGAAGGGTAAGGGGGTGAGTAATACCGACTCCATCCAGACTGTGAGTGGGACCAACGGCTATGGGCAGGTGCTCTTAACCCATTGCAGGTCTTAGGAACACGCGCCAGCTTGGTCTGGCCACTGTCGTTTGACTGCAGTGTCATCAGGGCACAGTGCGTTTTCCTATCCCACGCGGGTTTCTGTCTTCACTGGGAAGACATACGTCTTTGGGTTTTACTCCGAGAAGCCTCCTGTCCCCACCCCTCCTCCTCTTTGCACACATATCAGTAGTTTGCTTCTCCCTGTATGTGAGAGTCTGGGCCCAGACTAAATCCTGGCTCCCCAAGCGGTGTGTGTGTGTGTGTGTGTGTGTGTGTGTGTGTGTGTGTGTGTGTGTATCCACACCTTTTCTCTGTAATTTGTACTTTCTGGGCTTAGAAATTGTTGTGGAATGAGCCTAACTCCTTATAGCCATATGGATACAACCCAGGTCTAAGAGCTGAGATGCCTGAAAGGAGAGGATTCCAGAAGAAAGAGGGGGGGTCTGGTCAGCGTTGTTCGGAAGTCAGGCCTTGCGGTCCTCGCTCTGAGAGAGCCTGTGCTGCAAGGTCAAGCACAGTCACCCAGGAGAAGGGGGCTCGCTCTTCGTCTGGGCTCCAGGGGGCGCTCTACAGCTTTGCCTTTTCTGTCTCCCAGTTTGTGGTCGCCTGCAACTCTGTGGAGAGCTTGCCCACCATCACCTTCATCATCAGCGGGTCCCAGTTCCCTCTGCCTCCCTCCGCCTATGTCCTCCACGTATGTGGTCACTCCCGGGATATGTGGTTGGATGGGCCCTACAGCTGTCCCGTGTCCCAGCTCACATCTGGGCAGCTATGGGGAATCCCCAGGGCAGGGCTGGGGTGAACAAGAATTCAGAGACCCCAGAGGGTGCCATGAACTACAGGGTGGGGGAAGTTTGGGTGGGGGGAGGTCTCTATAGTGCAAATGGTTATATCCTGGTGTCTGTCCCCTGTCCCCTTAGAACAACGGCTACTGCAGGCTGGGGATCGAGGCCACTTACCTGCCCTCCCCCAACGGGCAGCCGCTGTGGATCCTGGGGGACGTCTTCCTCAAGGAATACTACTCAGTCTATGACATGGCCAACAACAGGGTGGGCCTTGCCTTCGCCGCCTAGATGGCGAGGGGCAGCTGTCCGCACCCCGCACGCAGGGCTGGGGATGCCCTCGTGTGGCTGTGGGCTCACCGCACCATTTCCAACTACCCTGACCCCTTCTGTTCACTACAGTCTTACTTCCTGCAACGAATAAATTGGGAAACTCCAAAAATCTTTGAAGTTCCTTCCAAAATGTCCTTTTTGTGTGTGTTCTGCTTTTAGTCATTTATTCTAAATGAAACTTAGCAGCAGCTACGTCCGGGGTCTGTTCACTGAGCGGTGGGAGAGAACCGGGAGGGAGAGCAGGTCTGCGCGCAGCCGGCTTCAGCACAGACCGGAGGCCGGGGTGGGATCTATGGGAGGCCTCCACCCGAGGTCAGCCCCCCTCCCCGCACTCTACTCCAGCGCGTTCCTCTCTCCATTCTGGAAAAGAACATGAACCAGACCCATCCCCAACTTCAGAATGTTGGAGAGAGAAAAAAGAAACCTTCGCATTTCAAATGGGTGCTGTGAGGGCCGAAATACAACGCCAAGCTGGCCTTTATGCGCTCACGGGTACTTAGGGCCCCCGCCCCTCCCTGGGCCTCAGGCTGGCCGAGGAGCAGGCCACACAGTGCAGGGGAGAGGAGCAGCTCCGTCCTCCGTCTGGGAGATGCTTGGTCAGGAGGAGCATGTGGAGGAAGACCCGGCTTCTGAACCGTAAAACAGGCTCAAGTAGGCCATACGGTTCCGATGTCTTTTGAAGTCCCTGTCGCTGGGCAGCTGCGAGGAGAGAATGTTGTCTCAGACCAGATGCGGAGGAGAGCCCTTTGGCTCTGGTCCTCCTGGCTGTGCAAGGAGGTGCCCATTGCAGCTGCGGTGGCCTAGCTACCCCCCACCCCACAGTCATCTAGCCTCAGTCATCCTCTCCTTTATTTATTTATTATTTATTTATTTATTTGAGAGAGAGCGCGCGGAAGGGAGAGGGAGAGACAGAAAGAAACATCAATATAAGAGTGATCGAGCCCGCAAGCCAGGCATGTGCCCCGATCAGGAATCGAATCGGCAACCTTTCAGTGCACGGGACGATGCCCAACCAACTGAGCCACTCCAGCCAGGGCTGAGTCTCTCAACTTTTGTATGTACAGTGACTCTTTATCATCTTACTTTGGTGTCTATCATGTTGAGAAATTTTTTTTTTTTAGTTGGTAAATCTCTAAGAGTTAACTGGTAAACTTCTTGAAAACAAAGATCGTATGTTCAATTCTTGAATGTGACCTATAGGCAGGCCCTAGCACAATTATACTAATACATCAGGCATGTAATAAGTATTTGTGAAATTTACCCAAAATCCCACTAGGAAAGAAAAGGCACCTTTGGAATTATGGTAGCTAACATGTATTGAGCATTTATTATGTTATAGGTACTGTGTTAAATGCTTTTCTACCTTATCTCAATCTTTACAACCTTATCAGATTGATTATTATACTCATTTTAAAGATACAAAACCGGAGGCTTAGAAAAAGTAGGGGACTTGTCCAAGATCATACATCAAGTAAGTACTGGAGCTAGGATTTGAACCCAGGCAGTTGTCCCCAGAATCCATGCTTGTACAGAATGCTCTACAACCCCCTGATGATCTAATACTCAAGTGACATGATAGAAAGAGCAGGGTTTTTTCCATCATTCTCTAGAGTCTAGATCAGCCGTGGGCAAACTACGGCCCGTGGGCTGGATCCGGCCCGTTTGAAATGAATAAAACTAAAAAAAAAAAAGACCGTACCCTTTTATGTAATGATGTTTACTTTGAATTTATATTAGTTCACACAAACACTCCATCCATGCTTTTGTTCCAGCCTCCGGTCCAGTTTAAGAACCCATTGTGGCCCTCGGGTCAAAAAGTTTGCCCACCCCTGGTCTAGATGGATCTAGATCTAGATTCATGTGTGGCCTGCACAAATCACTTAATCTGTCTTAGTCTCAATTTCCTCCTCTATCATATACAGACTAGAGGCCCGGTACATGAAATTTGTGCACTGTGTGTGTGTGTGTGTGGGGGGGGGTCCCTCAGCCCAGCCTGTGTCCAGGATCCCTCAGGAGATGTCTGACTGATGGCTTAGGCCCACTCTCCATGGGACTAACATCAGTCAGACATCCTTAGTGCTGCTGTGGAGGCAGAAGAGACTACCGCCACTGCGCTTGTCAGCTATGAGCCTGGCTCAGGGCTTCTGGCTGAGGACGCTCCCTCTATAGGACCATCAGGGGGCAGCTCCTGCATTGAGCGTCTGCCCCCTGATTATCAGGGCGCATCACAGCCACCGGTTGTTCCACTGTTCGGTTGATTTGCATATTAGCCTTTTATTATATAGGATAATTCTCCTGTACCTACCACAAAATATTTGAGAATTAAATAAGATTCACTGGAACTTTTGTGCAGACATGCACATCTTAAAAAAAAATTTAATAAAATTGCCCTAGCTGGTTTGGCTCAGTGGATAGAGCGTTAGCCTGTAGCTGAAGAGTCCCGGGTTCGATTCTGGTCAAGGGCACATGCCTGGATTGCGGGCTTGATCCCCAGTAGGGGGCATGCAGGAGGCAGCCAATCAATGATTCTCTCTCAGCATTAATGTTTCTCTCTCCCTTCTCTGAAATCAATAAAAATATTTTTTAAAAATCTAATAAAATTGTATAACTTTCCCCCAAATTCCTATATGTATATGCACACAAAACTGCGCATATAATTTCAGGGGAACAGGACTTTCCAAAGCTCATTCACAGACTCCCCGTTAGGAGCCCCTATGGAAGAACTAGATAATGTTCTAAAGAAGCCCAGGGTTGTTACCTCAGCTTTTAGGGTCCTTTTCTGCAGACATGGAATCTGAGCCCAGTCTGGAGATCCAAATTTCATTGGCCAGGTGACTTTTGCGGGTGGCTTTATCTGTGGGTTGTACATGTCAGGGCTAGAAATCAAAACATATAACATGATGTCTATGACTTAGTGACTATTTGTGAATCCCATCAGTAAGCTGTCCCTGAACTAGGTCTAACTCCTTGATAACAGGCAACAGGCTGATCAGGTTTTTAAGGCTGTGCAAGCACCTTCAGCTGCTAATGTCTTTCTAATTAGGTGTCACTCACTTTCCCAGAAAGACGTCTCTCCACAACCCTTGATAAAGTAGCCTCCCGTCAATCCATCACTCAGCATTATATCATCATCCTGTTTTATCGTCCTCATAGCACATTGCCGGGTCACCGTTCTCCTTGGTTTGCTCATGACAGTCTTGGCTTATGGCTACTGTCTTGGTATAGTTATTCATAAGGTCCCCTTTCACTCTCGAATGTGTCACGGTCAGACTAATACATATATGGCCACTCTCCTCCTTACTGTTGATATTTTCTTATTTGCTCCTCATCTGTCTGATTCTAGAATGTAAGCTCCAAGAAATCAGGGGCCTTGTGTGACGGGTTCAATGCAACATCTCTGGAACCCACAGAACTGCCTGGCACATTCATAAATACTCGTTAAACGAATCACTATGATTTACGCTTCCATGATGCCAGAGATCTGGAAGGCAAAAGAGGTTGAATCTTAAAGATGAGTGGTTTTGTACCTGTCCTTCCTTTCCTATCGCTTTCTGTTGAAGTGCCCCAGAAAAGAGGAGACATACCCAGGATAACTCATGTCCTTTGAGTGAGTTATAAATCGAGGCAACATGACATTAAATGGAGCAAAACTTTGTTTTCGTTTTCCCTCCTGAAGATTTATTGTCTGGTACGTGCCTGGGTGAGGTGTCAGATCCTGTTTCCAAGAAAAAGAGCAATATGTTAGAAGATGATACACAGGTATACACGTGAAGCCTTGTAAGTAAAACACACACACAAACACACACACACACACACACACACACACACACACACACACACCAGACTCATCCTCTTCTGGTTCATGCATCAGCTATGGTTTAACCATCTCAAGCTACAGAAATAGGCCTATGAGAGGTAGAAAACCAAGATCGGTGTGGTTCAACTACCTAAAAATGCATCCTGCTTAGGTTGGAGAAATCAACCTCCTCCTGCAGGCCCCCCACTGGGGATTGAGTCTGCAGCCTGCATCCTGGGCATGTGCCCTGACCAGGGATCCAACCATGACCTCGTGATTCATAGGCTGATGCTCAGCGACTGAGCCACGCCGGCTGGGCTTGTTTTGTTTGTAATCTTACCGGAGAATATGTTTATTGAATTAAGAGCAAGGAAGAAGGAGAGAACCCAGGTATGTGACTGGGAATCTGACAACCTTTTGGTGCACTGGATGATGCTCCGACCAACTGAGCCACACCAGTCGGGGTGGAATTTTTTTAAAATATATTTTTCTTTATTTCAGAGAAAAAGAGAGGGAGAGAGAGAGAGAGATGGAAACATCAGTGATGAGAGAGAATCTTTGATTGGCTGCCTCTTGCATGCTCTCTACTGGGGACTCAGCCCAAAACCTGGGCATGTGCCCTGACTCAGAATTGATTGATGCTCAACCACTGAGCCACAACAGGCTGGGCTGTTTTTCTAACTGACAAGATAATCCAATGCATATAAACAAAGCTTCCAGTACTTTAACATCAGGTGTCTCAGTCACCACTGAAACTCTAATTTGGTACTACTTCTCCTGATAATTGTTTCTCACTCTCCCAGACTCACTCTCTCTCTCTCTCTCTCTCTCTCACACACACACACACACACAGACACACACACACACACATTTCCAATGCATTAGCCCAAGCTTTTCAGATAGGCTTAATGGCTTTTGCCTAAATGTCTATATTTCTTTAATTTCAGAGCATATTGTTTAGGTAACCTCCCACTCACTGCCCTGTGCTTCCCAATGCAAATACAACACCATGGATCACACGAAAACTGAAGTGCATGCAACCATTTCTAACCTTATTCGGCTTAAACCTCATGGCTGTTCTGGCTCCCAAAGTATATCCTTTTGTACTGGTCGGGATTTTGGAGAGGTTGTGTACCCAGTCATACCTCTTCGGGTAGAATATATTTTTTAAAACAAACAAAGAAAAACACAGAGAACGTTATCGTCATGAAAACAGCACGGACTTAGAATGAATCTTCTCTGCAGGAGTTGCTCTCGACTTCTTGACTTCTGCGACTCAAGACCATAGAAACAAGGACATGAGTAACAGTAACTTCGCAGGGGAATGTGCCTGGGTAA